TGTATATGGGATCCGAACCCTCGGACGGGAGCGCCGCCGCGCTTCCCAAGCGGCGCACTTAAGCTGTGCGCCACTGGGCCGGCCCTATAAAAGAGCTTTTATCAAGGCAGTTCACTTAGTAGGCTCTTCATTTGTTGACTCCATTGGGAGGTACTAAGAATTGTCCTTGATATTTGTTAGGCAGGTTTTCTATTCACAATGAAGATGAAACACTATGTAATTTGGCATCTCTCTAATTCACTTCCATCCAACAAACACTGACAGCAGCCTCTTATGAGCCAAGCCCAGCTGGGTTCTCACCAGACAGTTGAGCAACACCAAGGATACAATCTCAAGGTCAGCTGTCTCATACATTGACCTGAATCTGTGACCGGAATCACAAAACTGAATATACGACCATGTTTCCATTGGCAGTGTTCTTAATGAACATAAACAAACCAACTATGAACAAATGTATTCACTCACTGGAGGAGACTGTGACAAAGTGTGGAGATGGGAGTTCAGACCATCTTTCCCCTGAAGCTGGATTAGAGACATCCTTCATGTCCCTTCTCTGATAACCACCCAGGATGGCTCTGACCATCCTCCCAAGAAGGTTACAGACTGGTGGTGGCTAGATACACAGCAGTGACAGTAAGTCCGAGAGCAAATTGCCCATATTTACTGATTTCTAAAATGAATATTGCATTTCTGATCAAATTGATCCAAACTGTAAAATCACAATTTGCTCTAAAAATAAAGTACACTATAAGAAACTCCTGGTATTGAATTTTTGAAGTCACAGAAACCCTGTATTTTAACAAAAACAATTTTTATCAAAGGGTGCAGTTATCCCTTCAACATGATGATTTCCATTCCTATGGGCATATAACCAGCAGTGGGATTGCTGGATCATATGGCAGTTGTGTCTGTAGTTGACTGAGCAACCTCCACACTGTTTTCCATAATGGCTGCACTAATTTACAGCCCCATCAACAGTGTAGGAGGGTTCCCCTTTCTCTGCATCCTCATCAGCATTTGTTATTCTCTGTCTTTTTGATAATGGCCCATNCGCTCAGCCAGTGAGTGCACCGGCCATCCCTATATAGGATCCGAACCTGCAGCGGGAGCGCTCCTGCGTTCCCAGCGCTGCACTCTCCAGAGTGCGCCATGGGCTCGGCCCAGAAATGAGGGAAAATTTAAGATAGCAATTATGTATCCCTAACTGTAAGTACCATGAGAGTTTAGAGAAGGGAGAGAGCTATGAAAGCAAGGCTGGTTGGAGAAGATTCATGGAAAGGGTGTTCCTGGAGAATGGTCTTACAGGATGGATGGGAAGAGGCTTCTCAGGGCAGGCAGAAGGCATGCCAAGTGAACAGCCCAGATGAAATTATATTCTAGAGGCACAGAAAACTAGAGCATTGCCAAAGTGCCCAGCCCACAGTGGCAGAGCCAAGATTTGAACCCTAATCTGTCTTAATCCATAGCCCAAACTCTTATCCACTGTTATGATGCCTGATCATGCAGCCCTGAGAAACAGGGACCTCAAATCCTGTCAGTCTAGCACAGTTCTGGTTATCATAGTAGTTCTTGTGTGGTTCTGCTATATTTTGCTCTCCTTGAATATCCATGAGATTTTCTATACCTCCCTCTGCAGCTTTCTTAATGTGGCTTGAGCAGGCTTCTGTTCCTCGTCCATAAAAGAGCTTTTTTTTTTTTTTTTTTGTCTTTTGTC